CAGGAGGAGGAAAGCTGCAGGCAGCAGAAGCCATGGTGGCCTTGGGAATGCTCTTGGGAAAATGAGAGGGCAGAAAGGGGAAGTGGCTTAAGATCGCCAGCTAATTGGGGTCTCTGGCAAAGAGCAGTGAGAGCCAAAGGTGTGTGCACTTCAACATGACAGGAATGCTCTAGGAGTGGCACTGTCTCACTGAAAGTTCCGGAAAATGACCTAACTGGCCTGGTGTCAAGTTCAAGCATGCTTCGGTTGGTCAATGTGAATTGTCAATGAAGTGGAATTAAGGTAGGGAAGGAGGAAATATCATTGGAGATACCAGCAATATAAAGTCATTTCCCACTCTGAAGATCCTTGGAGTGGGATAGAGCAGTGTGTAGATGCACCTCACCTACTTCTCAACACTTTGCGGGGGGGTATTACCCCAATGTTAGAGATAAGGAAATTGAGGCTCAGAGAGATTAAGTAACATTTCCCTAATGACACGGAAGGTACTCAAAAGAACTAGGTTCCAAATTATGGTCTGGAGTCAAAGCCCATGCCTTTGCACACTGAGACCCTAGCCTAACCACCTCTTTCCCAGTCTTGGCAAATCACAAAGAGTGGGAGCAGAGGTGGAGTTGGTCAGAGTTCTCAGCATAGACAAATAATGAGGACCACAGGAGAAAGAAGTGAGGATAATAAGGGGGCCTGGAGAGCTGGGAGAACTGAGGACCAGAGATTCGGAGGACAGACGGAAAGGAAGGATTTGAAAGGAAAAGGGAGGAGAGATTAGGACACTAGAGGAAAGATCACCAGAGAGAAACTATGAAATTAAAGCACGTATACTTGCAAACCCCATGGGGATGAAGGACCATTGGCTGGGCACTTACTCCAGATGTGCCACTAGTACTACTTAATAAACATTTTCAAAACACCTACTTCTTGGCATAAGCCTTCAGTCATCTATAATTTGTCTATGTAGGCAGTGAATCAACAACACTGATTAAAAATCTGCCTGCCAGAAGTTAGTAATCCGTTGGAGGTGGTGCAACAATGGCAGCTAGTAATTTTTATTTGGGGATGGTTTCCATTTTGGGAAATGGCCAAGTGGCATTCATAACCAAGTCCCATGCTGTTGCCATGGGCTAAGCTGGGCCCCTAAACTCACTGACCCTCGCATGGCCCGCCAGCCACCTTACCAGGTAGACAACAAACTGGGCATGTTCATCTGGGCACACCCTGGTGTGATCTGAACACAGGCTCTGCAGTCCCTGTGCCATGAAGAACTGTGGACCTGCTCAGGCCAGCACCAACAGCCTGGGCCTCACTGGGAGGTGAGGAAGTTATGCAGGGCCTATGTCCATTCTGATGTTTTGCATGAGGGAGGGGATGTGGTCTTGCTCAGAATGGAATAAAACAGAGAAAGGGATGGGAGCTCTTATGTCTCAATAAATATTTTTCATACTAGTGTTAGAGATGGGAGGGTAAAAGGGAGAGAAGACAAAAGCGAGGGAAAAGTTGTGATTACAAAGGGACAGAGGAAGAGTGAAAGGACTCTGCAAGTGAGACAGGGCTAGGCAACCTGTGGGGGTGCTAGAGGGACCTCAAAGAAGGCTGCGGAGATCCAAATTGTCTGAATACCTCACCTCCAGCCATGCAGCACAGAAAACATTGAGGGGAAACTGAGGCATCTAACGATGAAACAATTGGTACCTGGGATCTGTGTCAAACTGATTCACAGCTGATGGGTGCCAAAGCTAGAGGGAGGGCACGTGGTGGTGCACTACACAGGTGTGTCCACTTGGAGTTATTATGCTTGAAATAAAAAGTTTATAATAACAAAGCAAAGATCTGTTCCAATCAGAAGAGCTGTGAAATAACCGCACACTGCAGGCAGACGCTAGCAGAGGAATAAATGCCAGCGTATGGGCAGACACTGATGACAATGCCTTGGGTGTTCTTGACCCTCCAGCTCAAGAGCTCTTCACCAGGGAGGGATGGAAAAGCTGGAGGGATTCTCGGCTCTCTGTAATTGTGTGCAAAGGGATCTAAGAGTTTGCAACAAATTTTCAAGGAATTTGTGGCTGTCCTCTCAAAGGTTAATAGATGCATTTCCTCTCAAGTGTACCATACGTAGATTAATCATTTGGTGTGTAGTTTTTAATTAGAATGTGTATTTTATGGTACTGGCATATTTACATCTGGCTCTGATGATTCCATCTTTCTTACTCAGTCAACCAGGCCCAGAAAAGGTAAAACTGGCCAACAAGCTTCTCAGCTCCTCTTCGATGGCAGCTTCCAGTGTCCCTGTTCTGCTGAACCACAGCACCTTTAGTGGCTGTAGAGGAAGTTGTGTCCCCCACCCAGGAGTATAGGGATAGGGGTGGGTACAAAGAAATAAGTTTGGGGAGGCTCCCGGGGGCTGGCCTGGGAGTGACTGGTGAGTAAGGCAGTGACTTACTTTCAGCTGTAAAAATCCAACAGAAATCAGTTTTGGAGTCAGGTTAAAACCCACAGAGCCCCCTTTACTCCCAGGAAATTCCTTAGAAAACACCTTTCTGTTCTTCACATTACACTCAGTCTGGCCCTGGAAGCTAACTTCCAAGAAGTCCAGCTCCCTGGGGTGGGCAGAGCAGGTATCTTTCGGACTCACAGCCTGGTGAGCAGAGAAGGAGAGATTAATTTATGAAACAGTGCCTCTCTCAGAACCGTCTCCACACTGAGGTCAAGGCTTGAAGGCCTGTCTGCCTTAACTGAGTTGAAAAGGTCTTTCCTCTGCAGGCAGACACTTGGCCCCTGGCCTTGGGAGAGGCTGGAAAAGAGGGTGGAAGAGGGAGGGTCCAGGTATTGCTTGGCAGCTGGCTCTGAGCTCTGCTCAACACCAGCACCCTACAGGAGGAGGGCCCAGACAGAAGCCCTGTCTGCCCAGGGCAAATCTCTTCCCCCAAACATCTGAAACCTCACCGCATCCCCACCCTTCATCCTGGAGAGTGACAGAGACCCCTGGAGGGAGTCTGCCATCATCCCTAGACCAGGCTGAAGGTAGGACTGAGTAGGCAGAATTGAGAAGGTCCCTCCCTGGATGACCTGACAAAGGCATGTGTATGGAACAACTGTCCCGGCTCCTGCCTCAGAAGACAGCCCTTTCTGCTTCATATCACTCCTAGAAATACTCTTCCCTCTGAGACTCTAGGTACTCAGGATTCGGACAGTTCTCTGTGTTATGTCTGTGTGTGTGTGTGTGTGTGTGTGTGTGTGTGTGTGTGTGTGTGATGATTCCCCAGGGAGTTCCCCAGAGCAAGGCCCGGATCCTCTTTCCATGGCCCTTTCCAGTACACTCAGAGGACACCATCTAGAATCCTGTTTTGGCCACCAACACAAAATGTCCAAGAAATGGAATCTACAGGACCAAGGACAAAAGGCTTGGTGGCAAATCTGGAATTGCCCACTCTTCCCCTTCGCCATTCTCCTGTCCCTCTCCTCCATCCCCACCCCAGCTCTTGGTCTGCCTTCAGGTCAGGTGGCCGTGCTGCTTTCCTCGTCAGAGAGGAAAGGGGAATCCTGTCGTCTAGGCACTGTACCCTCTCCATGCCATCTCTGCACAGACAAATGGTAGAGAGACTTTCAGAGACCCAGGGCAGTGGAGAGAGATTTTTCTTGGGACGGAACAGGACTTCCTTGTATGGTTATCTTCACCACCAAGAAGGAGCCCCAGGGCTAAGGCTCACACCCAGGCCCTGGTGGTTGAGGAATTCAGGGAGGAGGAAGACTTCCCACGGGAGGGTGAACCTTGGGACTTGAGACAGCTGATTAGAATCCGAGAAGCAGAGAACTATGAAGAGGAGTCTTTCTTTTTTTTTTTTTAAACTGTGCTTTATTTAGGGCTAAGCTGGAGAAAGCGTCATCCAATAGTTACAGAAGGTTACAAGGAGTTTTAGGGAGTTGAGTGTGAAAAGAGCAGTTGTACTGAACTGCAGTTGTTTCGCTTTGTGTTTTTTTTTTTTTTTTTTACAACATCTGGACATCCTAAAATGAGGAGTCAAGAAAAAGAAAAAGAAAATTAAAACAACGATAACAAAATAGACAGAACGGAAAGACAGGAGACCTGAGAGGAGTCGGAAATTTGTTCTTAAGAAAAAAAAAATGGTAGGTCTGCGCGTCCCTCTGGCCTCCAGATGAACTGGTCATCAATGAGAAGTTTTTGAGGCGGAATGCCAAAGCAAGTCTTCCCAAGGTGTAAATAAATTATAATAAATATGATATACTTTAAAATATATGTGTTCTTAAATAATTCAGTGTTTTTTCTGATTCTGAGTTTTTAAGCAATGTCTTTAACTGCTCTAAAGTCATTTACCAAAGATAAATATCGTGCTTTCATTAAATAGTTTTCCTTGTTTTTTCTCTATCATTACAATTAAAAGTCCTACAAAATATGCAAATTTATTTACAGAAAAACAGAGCCGGCATCATTTAAACATCCCTGTTTTTCAAAATTCCTTGTAAACAGTTTCAGAAATTCTTCAAAGATTGTTTATTTTTCTCTCTCTTTTTTTTTTAAATTTTTTTTTAAGGTTTGTGTGTGTGTGTGTTGTCTAGTTTTAAGATGAAAGTTCCCAGTTCTCCCTGGCCCGGAAAGTCTCTGGAACAAGCATGGAAGGCGGCGAGTGAAGCGGGAGGTGTCGAGGGCTTGCGGAGAGCGAGCGAGCGCGGCTCCCAGGGCGAGGAGAGGCGGCGGCGGCGGCGGCGGCGGCGGGCGGCGAGGGCCCTTCCCGTCCCTGGCGCGCAGCAGCCGGGAGCCCGCAGGTCTGGGAGAGTCCGGCCTGGCCCTCGGGGACATCGGCGTCCGGCAGCACTCGCGGGGAGAAGGGATTGATGCTCAGTCTAAACTCTACAAAAGTACAGTCCTACAACATCTGGGATTTTAGCAGTAACGCTAACTTCTATAGATTTTTTTTTCTTTTTTCTTTTTTTTTTATTTTTTTGCTTTCCTCTAATTTTTCTTCTATTATATAGGTATTTTAAACTTTTCCTTTTTAAAATTCTGTACAACTATTAGGATTTTTAAGAGGGGGAAGAGTTAGAAGCATTTACAGACTTTTCACAACAATTACCTTGCCTTGGAAGTCCCTTTGTTCCCCTCCTTATGTTCTCACACTTCACAGTTAATGAGTTTTAATACTTTTGTTGCTTTCCCCAACGATCCACCAATCTGTTCATCTTAACAGCTCCATCCAGACATATAATACAGAAAACCATAGGAAAGTGTCATAGACTTCAATGAGGGTAATCAAAGCGCCTCTCAAAGTATCAAAGAACTAGTATCTTGCTGTTTCAAAAGCATTGAAGCATTATTTTTTTTCTTTTTTTTTTTTTGTTTTTTGTTTTTTGTGTGTTTTTTTAAAGTTTTTTTTTTTATTACATTTTTCATAGAATCGCTCTAAGCTGTTTCAAGAACAGCCAGGAGGCAGGAAGGAGGTAGTTCTCCATTCCCCCTCTATTTGACATAGAGCTACACATCTGCAATAAAAAGTTTGGTCCTTTGGTCCCTAAATAGCTAAAGGAATGACAGATAAAGCGGCCTCCCAGCCGCTCCTGGGGACCAGGCCCCACAGCACACTTGCCCCGCCTGCCTCAGGCGCCCAAGGCTGGAAAAGCCCAGGGATCGATGAGCAGCAGCGTCTCCTCCCAGTGCCCAGCCCTTCAGCCTCCCCGTCTGGTCTCACGTTACTTTGTTTAAAAGTTGCCTTTTTTTGTGTTTTTTTTTCTCATTTTTCTTCTTCGTCGTCTTCTTTTATGTCATGTGTGTTTTTCCCCCAAACACGTGCCCTCTGAACTCCATAGACGCTATACTTTCCTTGAAGAAATGTTACAGTCACACAGAGTGTCTGGAGTCTTCAGCTTGATTGATATTGGCTGATATGTCAAAGGTGTCATCCAACAGTTCTCATTTATAAATAGAGAGAGAGAGAGGTTTGTTTTTTAATGTAGCCCGTTCAGCATCCTGCCCTAAAATGAAGAAAATCAGGGCTGATTAAGCCAAAAGAGAAAACACAAACGCATCCAAACACCAATAGGAACCTGCCTTGGGGGAGTAGGATGGGAGCTCTGGGGGATGGCAGGAGGGAAGGAAGAGAGATCAGTATGAGAATTAGTCATGATCATGATACAATCGAAAGAAATTTGCTCTTCTATTCAGAGTAAGAAGCCACTGGGTGTCTGGTGGTGATGGGTGTAGCTGAGGTTTAGTCGTTGGGAGAGTTCTTGATTTGGGTTTCTTTAGAGTTCTGGATTGAGGGATGACTAGATCTAAGGGAAGAATTTGGGACTGTGGGATATGAATTCATAATTAAACTTGTCCCTGAGGGATCTAGCCCAGATACAATATGTATACAGAAGCCTAGCAAACAAGAGAGCAAAAAATCTATATACCTCACCCACTCTTCCCCAGTTTGAGGAAAATAAGGCAGACAGACCCATGACTTGAATTTTGCAGAATCCTTGCCCAGTTTCCAGCCAACCACTTTTTCCCCCAAAGTCAGTTATCATTTGCGAGGCTGTGTATATATATGTATATCTGGATATATGTGTAGAATATAGTCACCTGCACATATGTGGGTACACATGGATATGTGTATATGTATATGCATATATATACAGATACACACATACATAAGACTTTTCTCATACATGCCAGCGAATTTAGAGGAAATTCAGAACTTTAGGGACTGGTCAGGAAAACCTAAAAAAGGTCAGAACAGATTTAATTATCAATCTTAAATAAATTAACTCCAACAGTTTTTTATTTCGTTTGGAATGGTGGCATTTTGGTATTTTGTTTTGCTTTTAAGAAAACAATCATGATCTGACTAGAATCAGAAGGCAAATGCTTAATCATTGTGAATTAACAAATGAGACTCATCTCCATTCTAGCAAGCAGCTTCCACTTATACATGGGGTGACTGGTTACATCAAGAAAGTTAGAACTGCAAAGCCCCCAGTTGAGGGGGCAACGTCATGCGTATATCAATCCATGCTGGCAGGTTTTTCACACTGTTGATTCAACAAACAGCAAACCGTACACAGCAGTCTAAACAATTACAACACCAAATAAAATAATAATAAAATTAAAAAACACTTGTCAAGGACCCTTTTTCAGTTGTAAATAAAAAGGTGCATTTTGCTTTTATCAGAACTGTTTCTTCCAAACCAACCAAAAAAGCCCTCCCAAACCCCCAGGCCTCCACCCCCCTCCCCACATTGAATTTAGCAGAAGCGGCTATAATACAAACCTTACAATTGTTACTGGGCTCTCTGTCAGAGGCCTCTGGCTTTTACTGTAGTTTTGTTTTGTTTTTGGTTTAGAATTTTTTGTATCATTTCATTACTGTAGATATTTTGGTTTTAGTTTTGGTTTTTCCTTTTGAGGTGAGATTTAAAATAGCCTAACTGGAAAAAGACCAGACCTAGGAAGTGTCAATTGAAAAAGGCCCCCAAATTTCTAGAAAAAAATAAAATCACAATATTTTCAAGTGCAAGTAAATCAACCACGCATAGATAGTTTTAAGATGTTTTCCTTATTTTTAAGAAAAAAATAATGGTTTGCACAGTTAAACGATCCCATGTTTGTAATTCAGGAATTCATCTTTATTTTTACTTATTTTTTGTTCTTTAGTTTTTTTTTTTTTTTCTCTAAGTGACATCTAGAGAAGCATAAAAAAAGCTGAACAAGAAAAACCAAACAACAGAAAGTAAAACCACTGCAAGCACCAAGAACAAAACGAAAATGAGCACAGCAAAAAAGATTGTGGCAGCACAAAAGTCAAGAAAATGCACGTGTGATCATGACTGGCCAATCATCAACGGATACGACATCCAAGAAAAACGCTCCAATCACAGCACCTCCACGAAACTTGACGGCAATTGTCATGCAACCGATTCTTAGCCTTGTTACATGACGCCATCATGTCACACTGTGAACTTTGAGTTGATTTGAACTTACGGATGGGGGACTTTTCTCCACTCTCATGTGATTACGTGAACTTTATTCCTAGCTCAGCGCGAGACTGTGGTGGATTTGACTGGCCCTGGTTGGGTTGTTGGAATTTGATTGAATGACAAAAGAAGAAAAGATTTATATATATATTTATATATGTAGAGAGAGAGAAAGAGAGGACAAGAGAGTTTGGGCAGGGGGAGGGAAGGGGCAGGGGGAGGTTGGGTGGGGTCAGGAGTGTGGCCCGGGGAAGGAGAGTTGGGTTGAGGGTGAAGAAGGGCAAGGAAGAAGTTAAAACAAAATTAAAAGGAAAAATATTTATACAGCACCAGACCACAGCATCAATCTAGAAGCTCAGATGAGAGAACGCAGTCAAATCATAAGGGAACTGAAAAGAACTCAAAGGATGGAGGAAGCCAGCGACAGACAACATGGGCACGTCAACACACACACAATACGCACACAGCTGTTGATGCAGACACATGATACACTGTGAACAGCGGCAGAACCTCACACAGGGCCACTAAGGGCATCCATCATGCGGTGGGAAGAGGAGGCGGGCACAGGCGGTTTAGCAAGGAGGCCAGGAAAAATAAAACAGCCCCTCAAACCACCGTGGCCGGCAAGCAGATCTCAGGGAGCAAGCTCTGTTAACACCCTGGATTCTTTCTCCCCCAGATGCAGAGCTCTCCATACCACCCCAGTTTTGCTTTTTGTGACTTCAGCCTGAGAACCAGCCAGGGGAGCCAGTCAGGGCCACCCCTGGTCCTGACTGGGTCGAAGACTGGGTAAGGTGAGTTGTGTCCCTGAGACACTCTGCTATAGGGTCCACAGGGGCAGCAGCTCAGCCCTCCCACCTATGGATCCCACCTGGACCCCACCCTAGGGAAGGGTGTCCCCAGGCAACATGAGCACCCACAATGGGGTGGTGTGATCCTTCCCCTTCCAGTCTGCTCACATCTCTTTCCTCAGAACTTTGGAAAAATGATCATGTTTCATTTTCAGATTTAGGATAAATTGTATCAATGTTCTTGAAATTCCGTAAACAAAGCTGGGCACTACTGCCCATTCTGTGTGAGTATTGACTCACACTCTTTGATTTGTTCCCAAGTTGACCAAACCGGGCCCATGAAGCCCTTGGAAGGCTCTGGCACATAAAAGGACCACGTGGACGGCTATATAGGGTGACCTGCAGGATAGGTCCACCAGAAGGGGTGCCTCCTCCTCACTCCTCCTCTACCTCTCTGCACCTGCACTTCTACCCCCAGGTTTTGAGACTGTCTCTCCAGCTGCTAGGTCCTGACCTTTCTTTGCAGGTGAAGCCCTCATGGCTGCTGAGCACGTGCGCCTTCTCTATCAGGCAGCATCAAATTGCTCTGCCTGGAGCTGCCTCCTCCCTTTCTCTCTATTTCACGGTCCTCTGACCTACCCACGAATCAGGATCTCCAACTCTGCCATGCCCCATGGTTACCCATGAGCTTGCTCCCCATCACCTCTGTGGTCCTGAAGCCTGAGCCAAAGCTTCTGTCCTTCAGACTCATTCACGTGGCTTTCAGGCCATCACTCAGGCTCCCAGACAGTGGACGTCCACTGTTTCATTTTCCCTCAAGGAGAGTGGAAGGGAGACCAGGGGTCTCACAATTCCACAGCAGATAAACTGGGCAGGAGCTGAGCAATGACCTTTTTGAGCCCACAGCCCTCAGCTCAGCCTTCGCAGAAACATCCCCAGCTCCCTTTTCTCCACAGACCCCTACCCCACCCACGCTGGGTTCTGTTTTCTTGCAACATCAGCTCTCCTTCACTCGCAGCAGAGCCTATCACATGCCAAGACACTCCTGCAATGTCACTGTAATCTGTACTTCCAACCTCTCAGGCTTTGCAGGCTGCCTAGTTGGCAGGTCCCTTTGGCATGAGACAAAGGCCCAAGGGAACTGAGGAGAGTTTTGTCATTAGTATGAGCTATGGCATCTGCAACTAAAGGACACTCTGGGAACCCTCCCACTGGCCCTCCTCACCAGTTCCGCACCTATCATGGGCATTCATCCTTCCTACTCTGGTTGCTCCTTTTCTTTCCCCCAGCTCTAGCCTAGCTGCCCCTCGGTGCCAGGTACTGCACTGGGTACTTGGACTCAAGACTAAATACATACAGTCTCTCTTCCGAAAGCTCAATGTAGGGAACTTTCTTACACCCTCATGAGCCTTTACCATACTTAGCCCTGCCACACAATATAGCCTCAAATCCATTAATCCCCCAAGGATCCTCTTCCAAGCTCCTCCAAGTGCACAGCTGGCTACCCTCTTACTTAGGGTGCAGCTACATCTATATGTGCCAGTCTCTGGGACACCTCACAGAGCAGAACTCTGGAAGTGGCAATGGGACGAGTGAGCAGCATAGGGAAGCTTAAATCAAGTCTGAGAAGCTCCAACGTACTGACCTGGGTGCAAAAATTATGGCTAGTCTGAAGCAATTCAAACACAAGATCCTAAAACAACTAGATTCCAACCAGATAGGGCCAAAACCCAAAGCTACACTCTTTCCCACATAGGACACAAGGGAATACTCCTGCCTACAAAGCTCATTCCAGATGTGGTGCAACAGCACACTTACAAAGCCTAAAGCTACAGAGCTAGAGTCCTGCTTAGTGCTTCCTTCAACCATAGAACCTTAGTGTTCAGAGAACAATGCTAGTGTTGAGCACCAATGCTGATGTTGGTGCCCAGTGTGTGCCAGTCAACTTGATGGCACAACAGGGGACTTGGGAGCCAATCTCTAGACTTGGGCAGCTCTGGGGTGGTAATGCTCTGCCTGTTGGGTGTGGGCCTTGCCACACCCACATCTTTGGCCACTTTTCCTTCTCTAGTTTCCTGGTAAAGATTTCTTGGAGAAACTCCCATTTTAACATGAGATAATGCACCCAAATGGCCAAGGAGCAGGCACAAGGACAAGACTAGAAACCAATAAGGAAGAACTATACTGTCCCCAGCCCCCATCTGGGGTCTCATTTTAAGAAACTGAATCCAACTGTGTTCCCCTTGGCTGTTTTGCCTGGCACTCTCCCCCAGATCTGCCCCACTCTTAGCCTGACTTTGCTTTTTACCACCAACACATTGTGTTTCTACCTTCACCAGTTCAGGGTAGCTACCGGAGGCCCAGGATTCCTCTCTTACTACCGTTTCATTCCCCAGTAGGGCTGGTACCCTTAGCTCCTGCTTGGGTTTCTCTGTCCTTCTAAGCTTTATGACTCTAGCTCAGGCTTCATCATTTATAAACACCCTATCTCAGCCCAAGATAGCGTGCAATCTTTTAGCTGCTTTTTTGAGCAACTTCCTGTCTTGCTGGCAGCCCAAGGAGTGAACAGCCTGTTCTGTCTGCAGCCTCCCTTGAGAAGCTCCCATCTCTTCTTAGCATCCTGTTAGTTTCCAACAGTCTTGGGTTGGGGAACTTTTAAGCGCCAACTAAGTGAAGATTAGAGGCCAACTTTATTATAGGGGGTATGCTGTAACATAGTCTTTAAAGACTGCTTAGTAGAAAAGTGGTAGCCATTTGATTTATCCCAAAGAAGTAAGAGGACATAATGTGTCCCCTGTGAAATTCAGGACACTCTGGGGTGGCAGGTTGGGGTGAGGATAGGAGTTCATTCTTGATTGAAGGGAGCTAGGCTCCCTGATTCAAAGCTTGGTTCCACTATTTACTGGCTTAAATTTCTTGTGCTTCATCAGTACAGTGGAAATGCTGCCACCATCCATCTGACAGTAGACACAACTGACAGGTAGACACAGCAGTTCTAGCTTATAGCTGTTCTAGCTTATAGCTGTTACCTGTCCAAAAAGGGTCCAGTACCCAGCAAGTACCGGTGAAGGTCTGTGGTTCTCACCTTTCTGGCCTTTGCATTCTATGATGGAAAAACACCACCTGCTTCTTAAACCACTCCTTTAGAGCTCCTACCCCAAGTCTGAGTGCCAGCTGAATCTACCTTCTTACCTTATATCCCAAACAACAAACCTGGCTTCCTCAACTCTTCACCTAGGAATGTTTCTGACTTGCTTGGACCAAGGTGCCTAGGACAGAAGAGCCACTATCAAAAACACCTACACTGTCCCCTCAGATTTTCTGGGGATGACCCTGATATGTGCCCCAACCCTCAATCTTTAATTGACTTCAACAGCTTGGCTTCAGTATTTGGGAAATAGAAGCCTAGAGTGGCCAAAGGCCTGGGTCTGGACGGCACAGCTATACTTATTTAAGGAAAAGCGTTCTACATCCAGAACGCTCTGTTCACTAAACCATCCTGCTCCTCCTACAAAAGTGCACCCATCTGTTGCTGCATCCTGGTGCCTGTGTGAGTACAGAGAAGAGAGCTCCAGGATGTGACCTTGCACCTTTAAATGCCCAGTGCTTGAAGTTGCCCAGATTCCCAATCAAACTGTGTGTTTGCATCTGCACACAAGCCAGGGCCAGGAAATTAGGAGGCCAGAGGCCAGTTTGGCTCTTCCAGGCTTACCGAGTGTGTCCCAAGCATCCCAGAGAAAGAAGACCCCTGTTCTAGGGGGCTGAAAGCAGGGTTGATGTCTGTACCCTATGTGACAAGAGTGAGATTGGAGGGGAGATGGGATACTGAAGACACCCTCCCAATCTCTAGACCTTGGACTTTCACTTGTATGTCTAACTCTCACATCCCTGATCCTTCTCCCAAACAACTTTCCCTTCTAGTCATTCAGGCCAAAAACCTGGGAGTCATCCTTGGAAGCCCCTTTCATTCACACTCCTTCGAATTCATGAGAAACTACATCCTTGGCTTGGCCTTCAAAGAGTATCTAGACATCAGCTCCTTCACAGCATTCTGACTGCAGCTGTAGCCCTGAACTGAAAGGTCAATGCAGTTCTTCTGTCCCTGCAACACAATACCAACACAGTGTTCACAGCCATCCCACCAAAATGCAAGTTAACCACATCGCTCTCCTACCAGAACTCTCTAAGACTCCCTCCCATTTCAGAGGAGACCAAACCCCCCACAATGATCTGCAGACACCAAGTTTCCTCACTCTCAGTCTCTCCTGCCACTATCTTAGCCCAAGCTCTCCTCTAGCTATCTGCTGTTCCTTGGATCCACTGCCCCTGGCCTCACCTTGGGCCCTGCACACTGGCTGTGTCCTCACAGGCAGGACACCCAGCCCCAGCACTCCCTCTCTCACCATCTTCATGTCTTTGCTGCAATGTTAAAATGAGGCAGGCTATAGCTCCCAACCCCAATGAATTAGCCATAACCAACAATTTCAACATAATAACCTATTACCTGTCTCTTCATTCTCAGTCTCAGTCACTGCAGCATTCTGAGTACCTAACAAAATACCTAGAGCACAGTACTGCTAAGTCCCTCCCCCACCATCACTTTCTCAGAAGCTGCTCTTAGAGAATACTTGGCCAGGAAGAGGAGCAGTTATCTCCAGCTGCTAGGCAGGTCCCAGCCCGAGTGGAGAGGTGACAAGGACCCATTCATCATTATCCATATAACAGGCAGGGAAAGGGATTTCAACGCTGTATTTTCATCCTACTAACTTCCGTCCCATCCTGTTGTTTCCTGCTGAAGTTCCCCTTGCAAAACCTACTCTGACTGAGCTATGGGCAACTGCAGGGTGAGGGGTAAAGGGTGGAGAGGCTGCTAGCCAGACTGGCAGAACCAGGCAGCAGAGAACTAGAGTCCTGCACAAGGCCCCAACCCATGGCTACAGATCTCTGCAGGGTCTGAGCTTGCCACCCAAGGTCCAGAAAGAATGACAGTGGAGACCTGTGGCCCAGGCCCAGAGTCCACCTCACCTTCTCAGATAGCTCCCTCACTCCTGTCCCTCTGCCAGGGCAAGGGGGTGATCATGCCCATTTCTGCTGGGATGACTACAGCTCTGCTCCTGCCCTGTAGAAACTGCGTAAGGGAAAGGGCTGAGCTGGGCGCATCGGGTCCAAGGCACCAGGAAGGGTCGGGCCCACGGTGGCCCAAGAAGGCGGCGGGTCTGTCTGGAGTCCCTTCCTCAACCTCCCGACCCCACGCCCAGGCGACCCCCGTTACCTGTGCGAGTCCTGGTCTCCCCCGGGGGACGCTCCCGCCGGCGCTCAGTATGGGCGATTGGCGTCTTTGGGCCGCTTCAGCTGCACCTTGAGCCTCTTCATGCCGATCTGGAAGCCGTTCATGGCCTGGATGGCGGTCTGCGCGCTGGCCGGGTTGTCGAAGCTCACGAAGCCTGGCGAGACACGAGGGAGGAGGGCCTGGGTTTCCACGGGGCCGCCCGGCCGCTTCCGGTGGGGGTAAGGTCGAGGGGGCGGGGCGGGGCTCGAGGCTCCTCCCAGGGCCCGCCCCCAGCCTCCGCCCCCCGCCCCCGAGCGCGAGGCCCCCGGGGCTGGGCCTTCCGAGGCCGGCTGCGCCGACCTGCGCGCCCCGCTGCAGAGCCGCTCCTCGGCTCTAGGCGGCGCCTCTCGCCGGCCGGCCGCTCCCCTAGGGGGCGCCCACAGCCTAGGGGGCTCGGAGAGGCGCCCGCCCCCCACCCCGGCCGGCCCCGCCACCTCGGCCCCCTCCTTCGATGGGAGAGGGCGGACACACCTGCGGGTGGCGGAGTTTATTGGACACTGTCCTCCCTGACAGGAGGGGGCCTGGCAGCGGGAGGGCACGGGGTGCCGGCCTGGGGAGAGAGAGGAGTGCGAGGGGGCGGGAGGGGAAGCACCTCGGACAAAGCGTCTCCACCGCCGTGGCCGGCGCGCCCTGCCGAGGGCAGAGGGCCGGAGCTGCGTCCTCGCAGCCCCTCCGCCCCACTCCAGCCCTGCCTGAGGCTGCGCGGCCGAGACGGGTGAATCCGGACCCACTCGCATTAACCCACCACCTCGCCCCCAAGGACTGTCGGCAGCCCCTTCCAGGCGAGACAGTTCCGCGTCAGGAAAGCAGAGGCTCTTTCCCTGGACCAAGCATGCACCGACCGATGTGTCCCCAACCCTTCAATACGTCCAGAGTAATTGTAATAGTAGGCAGCAACACTTAGTAAAACAGCACTGCTGAAAATAATAGCTGAGAGCCTTTTATGTACTTAGAGCCTGCAAAACTGCTTTGTGGACCTTCACTTGTCCGGCAGATCCCCTCGACCTTCCAAGACAAATCGGACTGTGGTGATACCAAGTGAACAAGAATTCCCCCAGGTAGAGACTGGCTGGATCCTCAAAGTGAGTTCAGAAGTCCAGTTTTGGGAAGTTCTAATGTATCTCATACAGACTGTACTTTACATCAGCATTTGCCCCTACCTGGTTTTTAAGAAAGGAACTTGCAGGCTGGAAGCCAGTTCAAGGAATATTAAATAAAATCCACTCTCACTCAAAGTTCTTCAGTAAATAAATTTTTATAACAGTTTCATCTAACACTTCCTCAAATTCATTCAACTTCAGAGGTCTTTCCTTTGTAAAATAGACTTAGTTCCTGCAAAATATATGAACTCATCTTGGTGAGATACCTGGTTAACCCTTGGTTGGATGGCTTGTCCCTATATGACCAGTAGACAGATGTACCTGACCCAGAACCCAAATGAAACAAGAGCTGTTTTCTTGACTATTGTGGTACTTTAGAACTGCCTAGGACCTTACTTACTTCAAGAGAAATATCCCTCTCTCTTCCCACCTGGTGGCTCTTTCCATTTTTCTCTCCCCAGTCACAGACACTGAAATCACCCGTGGGTCTTCTGTCTCTCTGCTTTGCTCAGTTTATGCAGTCATGTACCATCAAAAAGAGCTGTGTGCACAAATCTTGCTTTTGCATATATGTACCCACATGAGTACACACATGAATGCTGGTCTAATTGGTCAGAGCCAGGTCCAGAGCAACAAAAGCAACATCTGAATAGATCTACATATCGAATTAAATAGGGAAGATTGAGGATTATGCACAACTGGCAATTAGCCTCCAGTCACCCTTCCACCAACTCCTTCCATTCCCTTCCTGGCCATCTTTCCCTGCTGACCTCCTGGTTAAAGTTAAGTCTCTAGCAGATTATGGCAGGTTTCAGAAGTCTTTACATTGCTCTCCCCAGATTAGTAGAGGTGGTCAAACTAAAGCCTCTGTCTGCCAGGACAGAGGTTTTATCTTTATCTCTCTCCTTGCACACTGACATCATGAGCAGACTCTACCTTCACACCTGGGCTGCCTGGCTCTATTTGCAAAAAAGAAAACTAGCAAAACAGGAGTAAAAGGAAGACATGAAAAGGGCCTGGGGAAGGGGAACTAGCTGAGGGGTGGAGCACAGGAGAAACACCAGCCACTAGATGCACAGGCCTGGGGAGTTCTGGAGGAATGAAGAAGCCCAGCATCCCAGAAGAGTTTCAAGGTCTCCAGAAATCTGGGGCTTCTAGACTTAGGGGACTACTAATTCCATCCCATGCAGTTTTGTTAACTGACTAGCAGTCAGGGTAGGGAGTGTCTGTCCACAGACTGGGGACCCCTGTGGACAGGTCCTTGGGCACCTTCTCCCATGTTCACAGCCCCCAGGACTTTCCCTCTTCCCTAAATCTCTATCTCACTCCCATTCCACCTCCCAGGAGCACCTGCCTGCCAGACACTGTGGGATGCCCTCCTGGTCTGTGTCCTCTTGCCTGTAACCCTCCTTCCAACACAGTAACCATGTATGCTGCACACACCCTCATGAAGGTCTCTGGAAGGTTCTGATTTGCTACCAATTATGCTAATGCTTATCAAGAGTGAGTACAGCCTAAAGTGGAGGTCAGCTTTAACACAAGACCACATGTATGACAAAAGGAACTATAGTATGTCAGGAGAATCTGCTTAGGCCAAGCCCCTGTTATGGGTCGCCTTATGGGGTGGCTGCTAACACCATTTCACAGATGAGGTCACAGAGGCTCTTAGTGTTCGTGGTGGAGCTAGGCCTCAGCAGGGAGGTCTCTGAGAGGGTGGCAGCAGACTGCTACTGGAATGAGCCAGAAGGAGGAGTCGTTGGCTGAGCCTGTGGGGCCTGTTCTTTTTCAAGGAAAGATGTTTACCATTAAGAGTTTGAGAACAGAAAAGAAAGGCAGTGCAGAGGTGTACAGAGAATGATTTCAATAAAACTCAGGAAAAAACGGACATGTGCTAATGGCTTAAGTGGTTAGGCCTTGGGGCCGACTCTGAGGAAATGATTTTGAAAACCCAGGCTGTACCTGTGGAGACAGCGCCCATGTACCCAATAGGATGCAGCCGGAGACTCAGCCTGGCTGAGCCTAGGTGCCCCCTAAGCTCGCTGGACTCCTGGCAGTTTTCTTATCATTGACATAACATTTGAGACTTAAAGAATGACTGTTACTGATTCTCTGATATTTTTGTATGCATCACTGTAATTTACCAGGGGAAAAATCAGTCTGATGGTGGAGGAGTATATCTTGTCTTTTTCTTTGTTTCTCCATACTCAAAGAGAAACGAGCTGCTGGGACAACTGTATGCCATTGAAGAACCACAGGTTTCCTATAGCAGCTGCCAGAGCAGAGGGGACAGTAATGCAAGATCTTGGCTACTCTAGGGAACACACCCCGAGTCCTCAAGCCCTTCATGGTTCTGGGAAGCCTGTCCTCATCTTGGAAATGTGTTAATATGTGCTTCCTGCTGCTCCTCCACTCTGTCCCTTCGCCACTCACCACTCCCAAGCTGAGACCTGGGTTCCCTGGCCAACCAAGCTCCTTATTCCCTGCACAGCCCCAGAATCTGGGGCCAGCCTTCAAACTGTGGCAGACTCAGCTCTGGTTCCATGTGTGGCTCTCTGGGGACTACATACCACAGTTCTCAGACGCTGATGAGTGGATCTAGCTTCAGAAGGACAGACTAGAGGAGGGGGAGGAGGAAAAAGAAGAGGAGAGAGAGGGACTAAGAAGGAATGGAGGGAGGTATGGGGATGAGGGACGATTCAGCAGGAGATCTGGAGTTTCCTGGATACAGCTGCCAGATTTAATACAGAAAACACAGGATGCCTGACATAATGTAAATTTCAGGTGAGCAGTGAATACTCTTTTAAATATAAGACTATCCCAATATTACATGAGATGTATAGTAAGCAATGTGTGGGACGCATACTAAAACAGGATCCATTGTTTGTATGAAGGTCAGATTTAAGTGGGCACCCTGTATTTTACCTGACAACCAGACTCCTGGTTCTTCCCAAGTCTGCCCTCTCCCATCGAACATCCTGCTACTAGGTGAATTTCAGGAAGCTGCACTTTTGTCCTCTCACCACCATCTTTTCACAGCCTGGCATGACATGTAAGGCCTCCTTGTCAGCATGGCCAGAGCCCTCCCCAGCACAGACCCTCCCTCTCTGGTCTACAGCCAGCCCTCCTCCATCCCCAAAACCTCCTGCCGCCTCGCTCCCTGTCCTTCGCCTCTCCCCATCCCAGCCCCGCACCTCTGCCCAGTCTGTCTTTCCTCTGCCTTCCTGACGGCTTCATTGCTTGGTGCCTCGCAGAGCTCACTGCAGTTCAGTAGCTGTGATTTCCATCTGGGCTCTGAGCTTAGGCTTCCTGAGGGCAGGGACCAGTCAGTCTCCTCCTGGCTCCTCAATAATGCCCAGCTCTGGGGGCCTGGGGGTGGGTGGGAGGGGAGTCACTGTATGGCAGGAGGGGAGCAAGGAGCGGGGCAGATGGAGAGGGGTGGCAGGACAGAGAGGTGGAGAGAGCAGCTCAGAAGCGAGTGGGGTAGGGCTGGGGCTGGCTTTGCCCCCAGGCTCACGGTGGGCTTTACTCCAGGGTTGGGCTGGCCACTGGGACCATGGAAGGAAAGGCTGCTGGGAGAATGGATGCTCTGGTTCTGCTCTGCTCCTCCCGCCCCTGCCCAAATGGACCTTCCCTTTCTCAGATGGGTGGAGCTGGGCCTCTCGGTTGGAAGAGGAACCCCATCTCTTGGGCTGGTATATGGGAAGTGGGAGCCAGGTTGGGGAGAGGGGTCAGGGGAAGCTGAAAAGCAAAAAGAACAGAAGAGAGAAGAAGGCTGAGAGATGGATGCTGGGCCAGGGGAGCACCTAGGGGCCATGTGAGGAGCAGGTGGAAGCAGTTGGACACCGGCAAATTGGTGCAAGTGGCCCCTATCCTAGGTGAAGCTAATTGGTTTGTTATCTTTACCCACCAAAGCATTTACTTTGGTTAGTCGCCCGATCCACAAACACTTTCGAGGAGATGACATTACCGAAAGGGAGGAACATCTGCATCAGCTCAGCGTCCCCAAACTCCTGGGGCAGATGGTAGATGAACAGGTTACAGCCCTCGGGCCCTGCGGTGAGGGGAGGGGGTGGGCAGGGAGGAGGGATGGCAGGGTGGGGAAAGAGAGAGACAGAGGAGAGGTGAGCGAGTTAGGCAGCGCAGCGGGGAGGGATGGGGTGAGGTTAGGAGGGGGAGGTTTTATTAAGATCCAAGGGTCACCCTAAAGAGTGAAGGTTGCTGAGCCCCAAGTTCTAAACTGTCATCTCTGCTTTGCCCTTGGGCAGGTCTCTGACCTCTCTGCCTCACTTGCCTTTTCTGCAAAATGGACCAGGAACCTAGCAACTCTGGGACTCCAGGGGCAAAGTTGATGAGAGAATGAGGTGAACATACCAAAGCCTGGTCAGCTGTGTCCCTGGAAATGGGTCCTGAGGACAGGGAGGTTTGCAGGTCCCCCTCCTGCCAAGCCTCTGTCCTGGGGAAGGCAGGAGGAATGGCCCTAGGACAGCCATGTTCTGTGTTGTGATGAGACTCCCCTGCCTACGCCTCCACAAGGCCAGCTCAGACAGGCTCCAGCATCACCTCCCCACTGCCCTGTTCTATGCCTCACCATCACTTGCTAGTGAAGGCAGTGGTGGATGTACGGTTTCCTCCAGCAGGCTGAGGGGCTAGCTAGGCACCCTGCAGCCTCACTCCATGAAAGGGTCTTCATTTCCTATGACAATAACAGCCCTGCCACTTCTACAGTGCACACCTGGGCCGGGCTGTTCTGAGACCTGTGTGTATGTGAGTATGTGTAAGCCACTCTATCCCTACAGCAACACTGTGACTTAACTACATTGTCATCACTGCTTCACAGATGAGGAAACTGAGGCCCAGAAAGGTTAAGTAAGACACAAAGCTGGTGATGGTGAGGGGATGGAGCCAGGATATGAACCTAGGCTGTGGCCTCCATAATATGTGCTCCTTTGTCTTCTTATTGTAACCCACCTCCCACTCCCAGTCTGAGCACATTGATTTCTGGAATTTCTGGAAAAACACGTATTCCATTTTAAATGGTGAACACACTTGATGTAACTCTCTGAAATGGAAACTCAAGCTGTGTGGCTTATTTCCACCATCTTAAAAAGCATCTGCTATGTATCACTCAACCTTTGAAGTGACTTGTGGCCATTTCAGAGATGGCATCCAACCTCCGGTGGGATGAGAAGCAAATAGCTACACTTAGATTTGTGTAAGAACTGGGGTTCTGATCAGAGGCTGAAGGAAACCTAAACCTGGGCTTAAAAGTGCAGGCTGTAAGGTACCAATATGGCCCACTATGCAGCTTTCACAGCCAAATCAAATGTCCTGGTCCTCTGGGAGCATCAAGTCTGCCAGGTAACCCAGTTCTGGGGCAGAGAACTTCCTCTGTATTCTCTCTGTCCCTTCTCTTCTCTCTCTCCTGTCCCCTCTCACCTCCTCCTTCCCACCTCCATCTTCCTCCACCCTCTTGAAGGCCATAGCCTATATTGAAAACTCCCCTGCCCACCAAAACCACCCAGCTGAGCCACTGACCTCCCTGGGTCTCTGGACCACCCCGCAATTCCCACAAAAGCACTCTGCCAGTGGATGACGCATCCAGAATTGGGCACAAGGGTGCTCCCTCACCACCTCCTGGAGCCTGGGGGTGTCCCTTCACCCTGCACGCTGTAACTGTGCCATGTTCTCTCTGGTGCATACTGTGTCAATGTACCTTCAATGTCTCCAGTAAGATGGGAGCCTCTCTGAGGCAGGAACTTGCCTCGAGTCCCAGTCTAAATCACAGCTCTCCAGGATCAGCCACCAATTCTCCCTGATAGTACCTCTGGATTCCCCTTCTGGTGCCCCAAGTCCACCTTCCGCCCTCTGTGGATTGGGGCTCTTTCTCTATGTGGGAAATTTCCTCTCTGACCAGACTGGACACTGCCTAGGCCAGGGACATTTACCTCCTCCTACTCTCCTGCCCCCTCTACCTCCGGTTGAGCATATGTCTTCCCACCCACCACCATTCTCCTTCTCTGGACTTCCCTGATGGTGGCTTCACCCCATGCTGACACCTGCCTTGAACTTGGGGCCTTTGCTCCACGTTTAATTTTTGCAAACTGCTTCTTCAGGATGTTATATCTGTTCTCCTTAAGGGGATAAGGAGTCTTTCGAGATGGGGATGTGAGCTCAGTCCAACCTATATGATGTAAGGATGAGCTACCAACGACAACCCTCTAGCCCTTCAGCCTGACTAGGGAATCATGCCAGCAGCTCTGGCCCCCACTGTCACCAGTGAGCCTGCAGACCCTTCCTGCAGTCCTTCTTTCCCAGATTACCGAACAGCCAGAGGACTAGAGGACTAGTGGGACATTACAGCAATCTGGTCTAACCCAGACAAGCAATGACACCGATCTTCAGAAACAAAAGGTTGGCTACTCCTGGCCACACTCTAGCCTCTGGCAGCCCCAACCAGGGCTATTCCTAAGGATGACATTGTCCCCTCTGTGGAGCAGAAGACCTCAAAGGCATTCAGGAACTGTTACGTTTTCAGGCTCAGCTCAAAAACTAGGAGTTGGCTAGAGGTCTCTCCCCAGCACCCAACATGTTCTAATATTCAGCAGCATTCCACAGGGCAAGGTAGCCATGACTGCTGGCAGGGGTGCGGGAATACAGCTCTCTTTCATCTAGACTCCATACAACAGTGGAGTACAACTTTGGTCTGACTCCAAACCACCTTTCTGTGCTTGTCTCTCCTGCCCCAAACTCATTCAAGCTCGGTAGCATTCTCTGCTCCTGAGGTCAGCCATCTTCCCCTCTATATGCTAGAGACCTCCTCTACCTTCCACCTTCCAGCCCCATCTCAGCCTTCCCCAGAAACCCACTCTGTGTCATGACCCCACATGTAGACAAAGCATAGTTTTGTTGGAATCAAGTCCTGCCTGTCCCTAACCCCTTGGTAGCTCAGCCTGTGCATGATGGCCAAGGAAAAAGGGGGACAACCATGAGAGACCCCTTGATCAGAGAATAGGGAGTAGGGACTTGTCCACAGGACTGGTCCAAGGAGCAAGATGCCTCTGTGAGATGCCTTGTGTGTGCGTGTGCGTGCGTGTGTGTGTGTCTGTCTGTCTGTCTGTCTCTCTGCCTGAAACTACTCCAAGATGGAGAAGGCATGAGAAGGAGTTCTGAGCCTAATGTGTGGGGTGGTGCAGACCACGGTGTGGGAAACAGGGGCAGAAGACAGAAGGGGCCTTAGTATAAGGCCAGCAGTAGGGGCTGTCATGTGTGCTGGGCAAGATGGCACTGACATGCAGCTGTTTCTGCACATGTGTGGTGTTTGTGTGTCCACAGGATATAGAAACATAGGCCAGAAGTCAATGGAGTGACATTGGCAATACCAGGACCCTCAAGCACAGTTCTCAGTTCTCTGCTCTAAGCCTTAACTGGGACCCTTAGGACATCACCTGTGCCTCTGATCTGACTAATGAAAGTCTGGACTGAGAGAAGTCAAGGCCCCAGGCCCCCACCCAGGGAATGGACCTCTGGGGAAGGCAGGCTGATGGACCACCTCCTATCCACTTCATATCTTGATGGAGAAGCCAGGTGCTACTTAGCTGCCGAAGGGCATAATGTGGGCAGGGACCCCTATATATCCCTCTAGGCTCTTGCAGCTGGGCCTTCCTGGGAATGGGGAGATCTGAAGATATATGTCTCAGGAGCTTCCTAAAGTATGTAAGCTGGAGTGGCATGCTTCATGAACAACTTTGAAGGAGGTGACAATCTGGTAGAGGAGGGCTATGTGGAATCAGATGCTTGCACTTTAGAGGGCAGACTGAGCAAGCTTGACCCTCACACCTCTCCAGGAAATGGTCCTCGTTGCACTACTAGTGAGGACACTAAAGCTAAGGAGGTGAGATGACCTGTCCAGAATCACATCAGGAGGAGGTGGCAAAGCTGGAAGTTAGACCCAGAAAGTTGCTTCAAAGCCTAGGCTCTCAGTTGTCAGCCTGTCAGGGGTGTATTGCACCGAAAGGGTTGGGACTAGCAGATGCCCAAGGTCTTTTCTGAACTCCAAGTTAGTCTGCTTAGAGGGGCCACAAGCCAGGCATCTGAAGACCACTGGAACTCCCCACCAGCCAAACCAGTGGATCTTGCCTGCTCTGCTCAGTTCACACCAGGACTTTGGATGTGGCTTTCCAGGACAACGTCTGCCCGGCTCCTGCTTCACTAGAGTTGCCCTGGGCCTCTCCCAACCATGTGCCTAGTCCTGCTGCTGGAGTCCTACTAGGAGCTTCATGTGTGTCTGCTGGTCACCCAGAGGGCATGAAGGCTCCTGTCGTGAACTAAACCCTTTTCCTGCCTCCCTGGCCATGAGTACTTACTCATTCTTCCCTCTCTTCCCCTCTGGCCATTCTTGCCCAGCTCCTGCAGGGCCTCATTTTCCTGACCACCTCAGGCTATGCATCCTTCCCTTCTGAAAGCCCAAAGCTATAAGAGCTGGTGCTGCAAAAGCCACTGTTGTTGGAGTGTGAGCTCCCACTCAGCTACTGCTCTCAGCTCCTTGGGAACATGGGTGGAACCTCAGAAAAAAACTCCAAGGAGGACCTTTCCTATACAAAGTCCTTCGGGCAAGGTCAAGGCCTCCGCTGGAAACATATACCTGACTCAGATGGATTATCTCCGAGGGCTAGTTGAGGGGCATGCTAAGGAAGGAGCACTATCCCACCCCTTCTCGAGGACTTTTTAAAGACCAAGATATTGGTTTGTGAGCTGTGTCAGAGCAGTAGCAAATGATGGAGGGGAGTAGGAAAGGTGTAGCACCTGCCAGCACCTTCAGGGCAAATGTGTCCATTCTCCTTCTCTGGGCCAGGATGCCACCCTGGTCTGTGGAACTGCCCACAAATTGCACATCTCCATCTGCGGGTAGGAGAGCGGGATGGGGCCGCATCTCACAATCCTGCTCTATACCCCCACCCACTGTCAGACACACACACACGTAAGTGTGGCCACCTTTCCAACCAAAGCCCAAGCCACAGACCCAGGTGAAGCCAGAGGCCCAGGTGAGTAGCCTCTTGGGGACAGGGGGAGGGGAAGGGCCAAGACTCACCTTCTCTCTGTTGCTGGGGAATCATTGGTGGTGGCTGAGGAAAAGCCTGACTTATTTGACCATAGGCAGCAGGGTAGGCAGCTGCTGGAGGGCCACAGAGACGAGAGGCAAGGCCAGCACGGGATGCACAGACAGACAGACATGGTAAAAGGCAGGAAAAAAGAGAGATTTCAGTGTTGGACAAGGAAAACTGACCAACCACAAAGTGGGTGTCGCCTTGTCAACTTTACAGAAAGTGAGTTTCACTTTTTAGTACTTAGTGAAAGGGGAGCTACAGAATGAAGAACAGAGACTTGGACATGTGTGTGAGAGCATGTGTGCATATGTGCATGCGTGCACAGGTGTCTGAGCGTGTTTGTGCATGTGTGGGTGTGTACATGGAAGTGTGGGTGCATGTGAGTGTATGTGGGGGGGGGGCAAGCAAGCTTAATCTGGGCCAGCAGACAGCTGTGATTTACCTCCCTCACTGGTTTCTGGGGAATCCGCCAGGGCTAAGACCCAGGGGCAGAGGACTGAGTAGGACGCCTGGTGTTTCCTGCGTTTGGTTGGGAATGGTCAGCGCTAGGACAGAAATAGCCAGCTCCCTCCCCAGGTTGGCTTGGCTTCCACACCAACAGAACCTGACAGAGAGCTTCCCTGGGGCTTCAGAGGAGCAAAGCCAGCATTCCCTGAGTCCTACCTTGCCAGGAAGCCTCGCCACCCTCAGGGAGACAGGGCTGACTCTCTGAAGACAGTGAAGAGGAATCCTGACCAGCCAGACAACAGGCCACAAGCTGGGCGGGGATGAACATGGTGTACTGCTCAGCCCAGACATGGGAGAAAGGGAGAAGCTTGGCCGGTAGGTGGACTCAGTGACCACCGGCCATCTGCTGGCCTCAGGCTGCCTTTTCTCTCTCTCCATTTTTACTACCATGGCCTGCTTCTCCTTCTGGCGCCTGTCATGCTTCCTTGGCTGGATAAGCTGGTGGAAACTGCTTCCCTTCCAGAATATCCTCTTCTCAAAGCCTGGCATCTGTGCTTCCTGGGCCAGTTTCCCAGGGCCAGGCTGGCCCCCAGCACTGCTGTGCAGTTTGGGGATCGTAAGCAAACTAGCACTAGAAGTACCAGGGGAAAGCAAAACGGGAGCCCAAGACAAGTTGCTGTACAGCAAGGACAAAGTTTCAGCCTGGCTCACCAGTTCTGCCCAGCCACCACCACCCTGCCATGGCAGGAAGCCCTGCCATGTGGGGAATACACTGCCCTAAATGCTAAGGGACCTGAACGTGGGATACAGCCCAGGCAGGGATGGGTGTGTGGAGTAGGCGGGAGCGTCTCTGACAGCACCGTCTTCTCTCCTTCCCCCGAGGCTGCTGCCGCTCCCTCTCCCCACCCCATGCAGTGCTGGGCCCCGGACTGGGGTGAACAGGGGGCACTGTGCCAAGGGCATGGAGAGATGAACACAGCCAGGGGAAGAGCCGAGGGGACGCACAGATACTAACGACCTGCATACTGCTGCACTCCGGCGTAGGCCTGCTGCAGGGGGTCCGCGGCGGTGGGGCTCTGTGCTGCAGAGGAGCCAAGGGGCAGAAGTCAGTGGTGTATACCCAATACACCCTCGCCCCACCACGTGCCAACACTTGGCTACACTCCTCTTTCCAAGCACTGCAGCCAAGGTACCTGAGACAGGGACCCGAGTGCTGGGTTCTGTTGGAGGTCATCTTTTTGTGCTCAGAGCCCTTGTAAGGTAATGGGTTGCCCACCTTAGCTGGAGGACACAGGATGTAGCTGGCCTTAGTAAGGGAGATGGGGTTCATGCAGAAGACTGTGAAGACTGGGCAGGTGACACCAGAGCAAGCCTCTGCCCAAGGCCTGGGTGGAGACACAAGTGAGGGACCCAGCCCTGGCTAGAGTCTGTCAGGAGGGAGGCTTGTCCTCATTGACCCTCAGCAGTGCTCAGGAGGAAGGACGAAGGAAAAGCTTGGTAGATCCCATCTAGGTGAAAGAAAGCCTGCAGGAGGCTTTACCTTGCCCCTGTCCCTTGGTCCACCTACTACTGCCCGGAGGCTTAATTACTCATTCTAGGGAATGTACCTAAGGCATGGCCTTGAGGGTGACTCTCCCATCAAGAACTGGCCTGATGGACAGGCTGGAAAAATGACACTGTTCACAGAAACAGGGGAGCCAAAAAGCCAAAGATCTCACCCTGCCCTCTGACCTACAACTAGGATGTTTACCACCCAGCACAAAGAAATGACCCTTGAGCTCAAAGTTTGGCAAGAAACTTGAGGACTCTGGACTTGGGGAAAGGCTCAATTTTCACCTGCATTGCTCTTGTGCCAGTAGCTATGGGCAAAAAGCCTGCAGCATGGACCAGCAATGGGCACAACCTTTGATAGCCAAGGTCACTGATGACAGACACAGGAGTAGGCTGGCCTTAGAAGCTCACAGAGGCAGGTGGCAACAGATGCTCACCTATGAGGATCCAGCCTCAGTGTGTCTGGGCAAACTGGATAACAAGGGATGGCAGGAAGTCAACCTCAGGGCTCATTCATCTGTTGACCCAGGCCAGTTAAGTTAACTGGCTATGCTGGGATTGGGGTTTTGGGGCCAGGAAGAATCCCCAACATTTTGTGCTCTCGACTCTGAGTCTTTGGTAAAGTCCCATTGGGAAATATTCCTTAGACCTCAAGGGGGTCCCTAGAGATAGTGGGTAGCAGGTTTGATGCCCCTAGGAACCAGGATACTGCAAGGGATCTGTCCCACAGGGACTGTGCTAGGGAGGGGGGAATTGAAGGTGAGGCACAAAGCAGGCTCCTTCCTGCCTGGGGGCTGTGCCAGGCCAGTACCCTTCCCCTTCAATCCCCAACCTGGATCCTAGAGCTCCCCACTATGATGTGCTTAGCAATGATCTTTTTTTGCCTTCTGCTCCCTCTGCTGGCCTATTCTGCCTGTTTCTGAGCTCTCTGGGGGGATAGCCATGTCTGGTTACCCTCTTCCTCACCCATGCAGTGCCTTTATGAAAATTAGAAAAGGTTCCCCTTGCTCAGAGCACAGTCTGGTGCCTTTCTGTAAATCATAACCTGCACAATGTACACGGCAGTCCTCTAGCACAGAGTAAGTGCTCAGCAAATGGGACTGAAGGAATGAATGAACAGTCTTCCATGTTTGGGAGAGACACAATTTCAAGGGTGTAATGTGATAATAAAAGTCACACCATGTGCCTCCGACAGGCTCTCAGTGAGCAAAAGGGGAAAACAGAGAATCTATCTGGGGGTAGGAAGTGGAGAAAAGCATTCACAAGCCCCTCTCTACTTCTTTGCTTAACGATCTCATTAGTAACTGCCAAAGAGTGAACATTTTGAAGGATCTCGCTCATTACAGCAGCTCCAAACTCTGCATTTAAAGATGGTAAATTAATTTTTTTAATGTACTACTTTTCTCCTTTCCTTCCCTCCAACCCTCCCTCTTGCTCTGGCAGGGAATTGTTTATGGGATGTGGCAGATTGTTACAAATGGGGGAAAGAAACATTTCCAAATTCCATGAGGGAAATGGCTCACAGATGCTGGTGGGGGCAGGGAAGGAACAGGTTTGTTAGAATCCAGAGATCCAGATGGGCTTGGAGGCAGGGAAGAGAGGAGAATGAAGCCACCCAGATGTGCAGAGGTGGCATCGCTCAGCTCCACGGGCCAAGAGCCTGCTGGCTCTCCCAGGCTTCAGTCTTCACTCTTAAACAACACTCAGATCCTTTGAGCCTACCACATCACCCTTAGAGCCCTCTGGCTGCTTTTATGGGGGCTGAGAGTTGCACTGAGGCAAGCATGAGATTGGGGTTAAGAACAAGTCCATGTTCAGACTCCTTCTTTAGTTCCCTCTAGCACAGGGACCTTGCACTGTGCTGCTGGTGGAACATTTATATACTACTGATGTCTGGGCTGCACCAGACAATAAAATTAGCATCTCTGGCCTTCTGTGACTTTATCAAGCTCCACAGTGGGATTCTATGGGCACTCAGAGTGGGGAACGTGACTACCCATCCTGTGGGTCTACTCAGGCTGGCCTCTTTGTTCTTTTTGGGTCAACCTCCTACTACTCTTATCTCTACTGCGTGGGCTTCAGGACCGCGCCTGGCCCAGGAACATGCTCTCTATTCATCCTCAGATCTCCATTTCCTACCCATGTGCAAGCCTGCTCTAAGCCTCCTCTTCAAAGAGGCTCTACAGAGCCTACAGAGCCTACAGAGCTCTCCCCTCACTCAAAGCTTTTGATATCTTTAGTCTGAAAAACACTCTTTTTATTTTTAATGCTGGGGAATGAACCTAAGGCCTTTGCACTGAGCTATACCCCAAGCCCATTTTTGAATTTTTTATTTTTTTAAATTTTGAGACAGGGTCTCACTACCTTGCCAAGATTGGGCCTCAACTTTGGATCTTCCTGCCTCAGACTCTCAGGGTTCTGGGATTATAGACACGCACCATCATGTCTGGCCAAGAACAGTCACTTCTGACCAAACTTTGTTTTGTCTTATTGTCTCATCATTCTGTAGCTTGCTATGTTCCTGACTGGAATCTGATGCCCTGACTGAACTCTGACCTCCTGCTCTGCTCTCTTTCTGGGGTCCTTCTTTCATATAATACTTGTGTGGACCTATAGCCTTGTCCTCTACCCTCCAGGAAGGGGTACAGCATTCCACATTTTTATATTACATTGCCTCTTGTTACTCAAGGGCATTAGGCCGGGTTCCATCCCCTGTATCAATTCATCCTCTTGCTGAGCGAGAAGCTGCTTCAGGTCAGTTGCATACTCTCACCATGTGAGAGCTGCTGGGTGAGAGCAGCAAAGTTTACTAAAATGAGGGTCCTGAATCTTCCTGAGATGTGCACTTCATGAACTGCAGGCCCAGAGAGGCTGTTCCAGGGACTGTCCAAGGCACTGGGTTGCTGTCCAGCGTGCTGATCAGGGGCTTGGATATCCTAGGGGACTGGGCTGGTATGTACTGGATAGACTGCCAATCATCACACGTCCAGCTCCTTCTTCAATGAGTCTTTTTCTACATAACACTAAATATTATTCTTTTAGTTTCTATCACCTTAATTCTTACAGCTCAAATTTACATTCAATTAATTTTCAGTTACTAGCCTCTGCTTGGTTGTACGTATATGTCTAGTGTCTCTCCTTCCTAAAGGGAACCCTTCTCCAATGACAGACAGACCTCTCCTTAAGGGCGGGATTTTGGTCTCTTCTGCTCTATCACAGGTTTCCTGAGGCATGGCAGGTGGCCAGCCCTCCTTGACACATGTAGGATCCCACCAAGGATCAGACAGGGGGCAGTAGACACACATTCCTCATTATAACAACAAGAGCAAGGACAAAATAGAGTGCGCTGCATGGGGAAGGGAGGGCTACCAGGTGTACTTACCTGGGTAGGGGTGGATGCCATTGGCAAATACAGCTTCTGCAGCGGGTTGCCCATTGGCCTGTGGGGGGAGGCCAGTGAAGCCATTCACCCCAATAGGGGATGGGATGCTAGGCACGGCTGGTGCGGTGATGCCTGGAGGGGTGCTGCCACCTGGTTTCAAGGACAGAGGGGTTGGAGAAAAGGGGAGGCAAGCAGAACAAAGATGAGAAAGCCAAAACACTGAACTTCACCATGCTAGCTCCAAGGGCCTGGGGATGGACTTGGACATCACCCACCGACTCAGTCTTATCTGTGAACTATGCCTCGGCTTATTCTACATAGACTGGTTTTGTCTGTCTCAGTTGAATCCATCTTCCAAGGGCAGAGTCTAGGGTCTATTTACCTTATAAAGACTTCGCTGGATGACTTTTTCTTGAATGTATAGCACACAGACTATTCTCAGTGCCTTTGAATTTACCCATACTCATCCCTCCTCCATTCATTTTCAATGGCTTTTGCCACTTCAGCCAGGTTAAGACTTGCTCATCCTTCTTTGACCCACAAAGGGCTAATATGCTTCCTTGAGAATTTTTTGCTGCCCAAATATAGAAGGTTCCCTTGCACTAAGGAAAAGAGGTCATTGCACAGTTCAGTGTCATTCCCATCTCATGCACAAACTAGACACCTAGGCCTGCTGCAATTAAGCATGAGTGGTATGGTCATAGTGACGAGAGTAAAGCTGGGGCCAGATGAAAACTGTTTTCCCTATTCCAGGTGGTAGAACACAAAATGTGGATGGTATGGTGATTGTACTGAGGCCCCAGAGGCTGGAAAGAGCCTTTTTCTTCATGTAAAAATCCAGGTGTCACCAAAGCTGGCCCATGGGCCAGACTCACCAGTGGCCCTGAAGTTGAAGACTAGAACAAGGAACATGGTAGTGCTCACGCTGGGCCCAGAAGGGGCACAGTGCTTCCTGGCTTTTAGCTGGGAAAAGAACAGCACTTGGACATCAAGAAGGTTGATGCCACAGACTGGACACCAAGGAAGCTTGGTGAATGAGAGCCTGGGTGTTGGATCAGTTCTTGGAACTAAAGTAGGTTTCCTCAGCTGTAACTCTAGGACATTGGGGCCCGATATTTCCTTGTCTGGGGGAACTGTCACATGCGTTGTAGAATGTATAGCAATATCCTTGGCTTCCACCACTGGATTTTAATAGCATCTCTCCCTCCCAGCTGTGACAAATAAAAATAACTCTGGACTATGCCAGATGTTCTAGGAGTGGGGAACAAAATGCTCTCATTGAGAATCATGGACTGCACAATACCCAAGCATAGTTTGTAATTAGGTTGTTCCTAACCCCTGCCTATTGGGATAACCCTGTGGTCCTAACAATTCATAGACAAACAACTTGCGAGAAATTTTCACCACCCTGAGTTTTATCATGGACAGAATGAGAGTTTTATCATGGACAGAATGATAACACATCTTACCTTTCCTTGGGTCATACAAAATTAGAACACTTTGAGACAAACTTCCAAGTAGGACAAGGCCTCTTGAGTCCAAACACCATGTACCCTTGCCCCAAAGAAAACCTACTGGTAGCTGAAATTAAGCCCTGCCCCAGGCCTGACCTGCAGAGGTATCTGCTGTCTCACCTGAGGTTGGGGTCATAGGTGCAGCCGCCAGGCCGTTCATGTTGAGGGCCGCCATCTGCTGCATCTGGGCGGCAGCGAAGGCAGCCATGGGGTTCAGGTAGCCACCTTGTGCGACTGATGCCATGAGGGCCGCTTGCTGCTGCATCAGCTGGGGCAGAGGGAGTGGAAAAAATATCACATGCTTCCAGGGGGCATCCCTCCCCACCAGGGGACTCAGCTCCTGGAGCCCACTTCCTGGGCCCTGAGCCCCAGGGACCTGAATAGTGCCTTGACCACCAGCCCGAGTCCTGATGCCACCCTCAGTCCTCTTTGGTCATCAGAGGCCGCTTTCTGGGGAGATGTCTGCATTCAAGAGTATTAGGGTCTTTCAGGCTCTAATGTTCTGGGGGATGAGGAAAGATGACTTGCTTTACGGGTAAGTCTTGTCATTTGAGGGCATATGATACCCAAAGTGCTATGGATATGTTGAATGAGCCTATGTGGCATTAACAGCATGGGCTCCCAAAAGGTCATGGAGTCTACTGGGTAGAAGAGACAGGAGAACCATGCATAGCATCTAGACACTGTTGGTTCTTCACCAAGGTGGATGTGGACCGGGGAGACTGTTGGAAGTGGCCAGAGCTGGACACTGCTGAAGAAAAATAGTGAGCTTGCAGGTTTAGAGTCAGAACCATAGGACACCTCAGTGCCACCATGTGGGGACTGTGATCAGCAGTGTGGAGGTAGCTCAGGAAGCTGCTGTCCTGGAAGTGGGCTCAACTGTGGAAGAAAGGTGAGCCAGAGGCAGGACCCAAGGGAAACACAGGGTAAGTATGAGTGTGAAGGGCTTTGGGTCATCTCCAGGATCCCTGCTAGGAGTGACCTGAAGGCCTGATGACACCCTTCCATGAGTGGGGTTGTGGGTGGCTGATGAGGACCAAACACCTGAACCTCCTCTTCCAAGGGCTCAGCATTGATGTGCTAAAGCAGAGGGGTGCTCAGGGCGGCCCATCTTGTTGCCCAGCCAGGGGCTTTCTCTCCAGCTTGTACCTTAAGAACCAGGAGAGCAGCCTACCTCCCCCAAACCCCAGATCCCTTCTGAGGTTACTCCTTGGGCTTATGTTTGGTTCTCTTCACTCCAGCGGACAGAGTGGTATTTTCCGTTATGATTATGTGTCCCTGTTCTGTGGGGATCTCTGAGGAGTGAGCTCCAGAGCCACCGCCCATCCCTGCCCCCACTTACTGCCTGAGCATAGGCGCCGTAAGCCCCGAAGGGGATGGCCATGGGGTTGAACATGCCCATCTGGCCAGCCATCTGCTGCATTCGCCGCATCGTGCGCTCCTTGTCAGTGTCGGCAAACTTGACCACCAGACTGGATGAAGCTCCCTGCAGCCAGGGCAGCATATGAGACCCACTGGGCTGAGCGCTCGACCCCCGTCCCCACCCCTCAGCTGTCAGTGTCGCTGGCCTAGGCCACCTGCACTCTGGGGAGCGTTATCCACAGGGATAGGTATCCAGTATCCGCACAGGTGTACGAGGCCTCAACCCCACCGTGGGCATTTTCTATCTGGGTGACCTCTGGGTAATTTCTTAACATCTCTGGGCCTCCATTCCTTTCCCGTCTCATTTGGAGGACGAGATCTCTGCCCTGACTGTGTCCGGGAGAGGAAGTCTCCTGAGTCGCCACTGCCCAGCTCCGCCGCAAGGCTGCACTCACCGGCATGGTCTGGCTGCCATGCAGAGCGTTGATCGCGGCTTGCGCTTCGGCGTGCGAGGAGTACTTCACGAAGGCACATCCTGCGGGGACAACACAGGCTGAGCCACCCGCGAGGACCCAGAGCGGGCTGGGACTGAGAGGCAGCGCGAGGGGGAAGAGTGAGCAGAGGTGAGAGGCGAAGACGTGAGACAGAGAACGAGAGACACAGACTCCGCGGCCCTGCAGTACTGAAAGCACCATAAGCCTCCCCAGCAGTCGGGACTTGGGTGTCTCGGCCTCCCCAGGGTGCGCCCCGTCGCCCACGCACCCTTGCTGTTGCCGTCCGGCCCGCGCAGGATGGTGCACTCCTCTATGTTCCCGAAGGCCTCGAAGAGGCGGCGCACGTCGTCCTCGGACTGCTGCTTATTGAGCATACCCACGAAGAGTTTTCTATCTTCTAGAACAAAATTAGGAGATGCTTACCCGGGCCACGGTCCGGACGGTACGGGAACAGGCCCTGGGGAAGGAGGGTAAGGCCGGAGCAGACAGCCGGGAGCAGGCGGAGGGGCGGGGCTCATAGCCGTGGGGGCGGGGCTCACAGCTGGGGGCGGGGCAGCGGTGAGGGGAGGAGCTGGGAGGAGGGGCGGAGCTCACAGCCGTGGGGGCGGGGCATCAATGGGAGAGGAGCTGGGCGAGGGGCGGGGCTCATAGCTGGGGGCGGGACACAGGAGGAAGGGAGGGGCGGAGCTTGTAGCTAGCGCTGGAGGATCAGCCTGAAAAGGTCCAGGGTTCAAAGCCTTAGGAGGTTTTTCGAGCAAGAGAAGCAGGGGAGCAGGGTGGGAGGATCTGGGGAGGGGAAGGGTCCAGAAAGTGGCAGGATAGGAGTGGGAAGGCGCAGGCACAGGAGCTGGTGAAGAAGGCAGTAGGTGGGCGCGGTGGGAACTGAGTGGCAGCGACCTGGTCTCCTACTGCCTAGGAGGCAGGCGGCACACAAGGAGCACAGGTCTTGATCTGGCCCATCTCCTAGGGACCTTGAAGGTCGTCTTGCTGCCCAGCTTTCTTTTCCTCTCTCCTCTTACGCACAGCTACCCTCAGGGGCCACAATAATTTGCAGTGTTTTTGCTTGCGTTAGTCCCTCTGCATGGAGAGCACTGTGGTCGCAAAGCTAAAATCTCCTCTTCTAAGTCTCAGTTTAAATACGGCCTTCTCACCAAAGTCCCCTGCTTCTTCTCCCTTGTTGTCTGCCCCAGTCCTCCAACTCTATACCCCTGGGTCCAAAGGACAGTAGCTTTGCCTGTGTGGTTGATCTGTCCCTGCTCCTCCCACCCCCAGGTCTGCTCTCTGTAAAAAGAGAGCAGGACTCTGCTATAGCAGCATTGGCTGGCACACAGTAGGTCCTCGCTGTGGAAAGAAATGACTGAATGAGACACGCCCATGCCCTTCCTAGGGAAACACCTTTCTCTGTCATTGTTACCTCCATCTGGACATGCAGTCCCTGGCTTGACTGTCCGACTTGTTCACATTGTAAGAATCAGCCCTGAGCACTTTAGGGGAGACTACTCCTGAGGGTGCCTCTGCAGACTCCATACACATGTGACAAGGGTCAACTGGCTTATTGACCCCACTTGTTGGCCGCTGGGCTGAGGGTGAGTGGCAGCCTGTACATGATTGCAGAAGGACATCCATCCCACATGCTCTTCCCTCCGTGCCATCTCCACCTCTGTTGGGACAGCAAATGAAGAATGGCAGGGGTGGTCCCAGGGACCTCTGAGGCTAGGATGTGAAAGGCAGCCTGCTGCCTCTCTCTTTGGGGTACATTTCCTCTGAGGAAGCCAGCTACTGTGCTGTGCAGACACACAATGATCCCATAGAGTCCACGGATGCCCCCAGCTGATGGCCAACATAAGTCACCAATCTGTGAGCAAATGACTTCCCAGATAACTTCAGCTCCCATCCACTAGTCTTCCACCTGAGGCCCAGACACCCTGAAGCAGAGATGGGGCTTCCATGCTGAGTGCTATGAATTCCTGACCCTCGGAATCTGTGAGCAACAGAAATTATTGTTTTACGTGGCTTGGTTTTGGGCTAAATTGATATGTAGTACAATAACTAGAACCAGATCCCAGTGATGAGTAGAGACTCACTAAATGTCCGTGGACTGGGAAATGACTGACACACAAACCAGTCCCCCCAAACTGCAGCTGGCTATGTATTTGTGGTTTCCTCTGAACTCAGGACCACTCAAGGACTCTGATGTCCCTGTGTACTCAGGGTGGTCAGTACCTCTCTCTTAGAGAGCCTTCACTGCCAGGAGAGTTCACATAGAGCTGGGGGCTCTTTTGGGGTCTGGAGCAAACCAGATCCAGTTGTCCTATGTCCTCCTCTGCAGAGAGCCCTGACCACTGCCCTGTGGACACCCCTTACCCCAGAGGTACTGAGCATAGGACACATTCCCAGTGATGAACTAGTGCTAGGTGCCTGCTCCTTGGGTAAGCCATGGGCACAGCGTCTGTTGTTACCAGTTCTGGGTCAGGGATCAGCTACCTGGCCTCCACCATAGCAGGGCTTCCACCAAAGCTCTACCTACCCCAGCCGGGGCTGCTACCCCTGGTTCGAGGTCACAGTAGAACGTTGAGGCACACCCCACCCCTTCTCAGGGCTCTGGGCCATGGCTCACCAACTCCAAGCTGTGGAGTAGGAGCAGTGGGGATAAGAAAATCAAAGGAATGGAAGGGGTGAAGTGAAGCAGGAGAGAAGGAGGTAAAATTAGGAGTGGAGAGGGAGAAGGCAGTGGCAAGAGACAGAAGGGAAACAAATTAGAGATAAAGAGGAAGGAGGAGATAGGCAGAAAGAAAGGAGACAGAGAAAAGGGTTGGGAACCCTTGGGCTTGCTTTCCAGGACAGCAGCATCATTTCACTTCAAGTGAAAAGAGGTCTCTCATTTCTTCAGTAGAGGATTGAAACTTCTCTGAGGCAAAGACCAGTGGGCCCTGCCACTAATCTTTGGTGCCTCTTAAAGGATCAGATTAAAGAGGATTTCCTGACAAACTACAAGGTGAGGACTTGCCCCTTGCTATTTCCTGGTCCTCTGCCTTAAAAATTCCATTTTGTCCCTTGGAAAGAAAAAGGCAGGGGAGAGAAGCATCTCCTCCACAGAGTCTGATTTAAATGCCAGGACGCAGCACTTCGCCTTCCCGCTCCTGACGTCTGAATGTATTCCTTTATTATCATTATGGCAGCTTTCTGATTGCATTAAAATTCATCCACACGTGCTTCTTACCAGCCTCTTCGCTTCGCCAGTTTTTTTTTCTTTTTGCTAATTCCTTCTCCCCTCCCCTGAAGTCTCTTTTAGCTATGCAATCCCCAGTTGTAGGTTTTCAGATCTTTCTAAATGAGTAGGGGGCCAAGCTCCCCCTTTCCTGTTCATCCCAATTTCCCCAGGGAAACCATCACTAGTCTGCCTTTCTGGCAGACTACAAGAAACCAAAGAAAGCTAATTGCACACACACTTTCTCAGGTATTCTCCATTCACTCCATCCTACGCAAGTGTTTCTTTCAGATGTGTTCAGTTTACACTCTTTTGTTTCCTCTTGGGTTTGGTGGGAGGGGTCGCAAGGCCTGTTCTACAGACTGTAAGCTCAAAGGATTCTGAGTTCTAGAGGGGACCTCCTGGGCGGTGCCCATGGTTCATACCCAGCTTCCTAACTGCTCCACAACCAGTTTTCTAGTTCTATAAAATAGGGACAGCTAGACCCTCCTTCCTGTGTGGTTGTTAGGTTCCAGGAGATACTTCAGATTTGACTATACCCGGCAAGCAGTAATAACAGGACAACTTCTCTATGCGGCAGGAACAGGAACTGGGTGCTGCGCCCCTTGTTTGCCCTACTCTGATTGACCAGGAAGCCCAGCCCTGCTGTGAGGGAGGGGACAGAGGTCACAGAGCAGAGAGGTGCCATAGGATCCACTTCTTGGGGGCACCTGGAACAATAAACTGGGTCATACTCAGGCTGTGGTTGACCACCCAATATAAATGAAATGTCCTAGTCTCCTACACCCTCCGCCTACCTCCATTCTGGTTATTTTCCCCAGGCACTGTCCCAAGCTCCGTCAGGTGATCAGTGGTCCCATTTAGCTGGCATCTTGGATTTGATGCCAACCTAGCAAGAGTCTCAGAGGCTGACTCGATCTCACCAGTGAGTGCTCGCCCTCCTTTAACGTAGACAAAGACCTTCACTTCTGAGATAGTTCCTGGCCACTGCTCAGCTGTCTAGGCTGAGGCCCCTGGGTAATGGAGAGGCTCTGGTGGTTTCCTCTTCAGGAAGCCCTCTGCCATTACCTCCCATGGCCAGTATGTAGGGGGTCTGCTGCTCCCCTGAGGAGGAGTTCAGACAGGTGCTGCTGGGACTGGCCAAGAGAGGCAAGGAGAGGAGAGGCTTCGGGGCTAGTGTGGAAATGGTCTGAGTCACCAAGATCCCAAAGGTGTGATGAGCAATGAGGCTGGCCCTGGAAGTCCAGCAGTCTCCTCTCAACACAGCTCAGATCAGGTACAGACAACCCTGTACCTCCCATCCTGCGGTCTTTACATGGACTTTTCCTGGGAGCGTTGTAGTCATTCAACAGGTGTTCATTGAGTACTTCCTCAGTGTCAGACTGCTCCAGGCTTTGACAGCAATAAACAGAAGGCCAAGCTGCTCACTGGAGCCAATATCCAGATAAGAAAGAGATGGGCCTTCCACAATAAACAAGTCCCCAAGCAAAACAAAGGCCAGTGGGTCTATCACAGAATGACCTTCAAGTATTGGTGTGCTCCCCAAGGAACAGCAAAACCAAAAGGTAGAGCTGGCAGGACCCTAGGTAATGCCAAGAGTCCCACACTTTTTATCTTGACTGCCCCTGACCTCTTGGATGTCTTAGATGCTGTGCTCTTGGATACTGTACTCTGTTCTACGAAAATGAGACTGCCAGTGGCGATGATAGTGCAGGAGCACCTGCAGCTCTGGAAGCAAGAGTGTGACTTTCTGCAGGGACGGGGCAACAGAAGGTGGGTGTCAGTCCCAACCCTGCCTACACCTAGAGTTTGACTCTGTGCCCATACTTGAGGGTGTGGGAAAAGCACCCAGCTGTGTCTCAGGTAAAGGCGTTTATAGCTACCTCAAAGTGGGTCTGGGCCAGAGTACCTGTCACCCTTGGATCTCCCATTTGGTGCTCCCCTAGCAGCATTTATTGAGCACTCACTGTGTGCCTGGGAGCATGAGGCCAAAGGGGTTCTTTGGGACCTTTGCTTTTGGATCATGGGGCTCAGAGTCCCTGCCATGGAGCTCCAGGTGTAAGAGAACAGATAGGACTGGTTGGTTACCATGTCCAGTAACTCTGGGCCACAGGCCAGAAGGGACTGACTTGGGGAGGCGCATGTGGCTCCACTTTGATGGCTTTCTGGAGGAGGAGGTATAATGTACA